TGGAGAATTCACGAATAACTTAGAACCTTGAAAATCAGATTCTGCAGACAATCCTTAAAAGAATACTGCGACTAAAGCAGAGGACTCTAGGTTCTATAGTGAAAAACTGGACTCTGGTCCCATGTTTTAGAAAAGCGGTCACAGTGAGTGGAGGAAGACAAAGGAGTTTTTAAATGGATAACAAGGCGTTTATTTGATCCACGAATAAGGGTTAACATATGAAACAAATGATAAAATTAGTTCAAAAAATCACCGACCACTGATTCGACAAATGCCAATGCATCTAAAAATAGGGGCGACAGAGAACTTGGCCTGCTGAGTGCGCGCTCAGCAGATTAAATATGGAGTGATACCACATGAGAACTTCAAGGTCGACTGACTTCTATTTAACAGCAGACTCATCCCTTCGTTACAAGGGCACGCAAACAGATATGGATGCAACTTCTTGAGGTTTCCGGTTACAAATAAACTTGTGGCAGCAGATTGTACACTGAGTAACTCCGTGTGCTACCCTTCGTCCACAAACTATGGTTACGAAGTACAATAGGCCAGTGCATCGAAAGTCGAGAATCTCGGAAGGGATATTTATGGCAATTGTTTCGTGAGATTTCCGGTTTGCGACAGTACATACCGGGCAAATGTAAGGCTTTGGGCAGCACAGTAAGCAGCGTATAAATTCCGCGCAAAATTAAATGAGAAAGGAGTATATAATTGTACGGTGACTCACTTTGTTTTACTGAACTTCAGAAAGAAGCCGAGCAGTTTGAGGGCATAAAGACGAATACATTCATCCTTCGATTCTACCAACTGAAATACACACTGGATACCATCCTTTGAGTCAAAAGCGGGAACCATAGAGGCAGGGTATTCTGACATCAGCAAAGTGGTGAAGAAGAGAACATCGCGCAGATCGTCCGGCTGGAAATGAATCGAAGCAGTACAAAAATGGGGAAGTAAAGGAGGAACGAAAATATCTTCTGTGGACAGGTCTCATGGAAATGTTTCACGATTAGTACTCGAAAACGCAGAAATTTTGCAGGGAAACTGTCTCTCCTCAAGTAACCGTTTATTATAACCCGTCCCAATTATAGGCCGGAGAGAATATGACGGAACAAACTAAGGCACAGGATCTGAAATACATGCGAGAAATACGTTTAGGAAAGAGGTTTACACGAGTATCTATTCTAACTTAGCAGTTGTTTTCTATGCTGTTGTAGTACGAAAGGACAGCAAAAACTTCCGAATTTTCCATCATCTGAGTAATAACTGTTTTGGATTCAGAAGGGACAATGCTTCACTTCACACTCCAATGGAAAACAAATGAGAACTACTAAGAGACTGGATCTGATAAAAGGCTTTGGTCAAAGCCACGTGAAAGTAACTTCCGCCAAGTTAACATGGAGTTCGGTTTGCCTTAAAGGTTCAATCTAGGCTCTTCGTAGGCAATTACATAATGACAAACAACTAATGATTGAGAACCGTGACGGTCATTCTAGGTGACTTGTCATTAAGAGTCAACTATACACTAGCCCGAGGACTTCCATGCCACAATTTTACTTGAAAGAAGGTAAATGAAAAAGATAAATTACATGTCTCTGGTCCGCGCAAAGCCCCCATGTGGTAGTATTGCTTTAAACTCGTTAACTTATAACTACCAACGCATATCGTCCAATTTACAGGCTACAAAGACAAAGCCATTCCCCAATTTCTGTATTCTGCACTGCTATATCAGATCCCGAATTTGGATTGTGCTTGTTTTTGTTGTCAGTTTTAACACATTAGACAACAACGGATCAATAACTTTAAGGGTTTACCTCTTTTACGGTTGCAAGGAAGTTGAGAATGCATTCCAACTCTTCACCCTGCGGGGTTGTGGTTCGAAGAAAGAGTTGCTTGATGAACATTAGAATGTTGGAACGTATTCTGGCAAGGCATTGGATTGAAGGCCGTTCTGTAGTTGAGGCTGCAACGAAGAGGGAATGAGATTACCAAAGTTTCTATTGTTAATTTAGAAAACGCAAAGAGCACCC